TGCCCAGGCGGGTCTCGAACCCGCTGGCTCAGGCAATCCACTCACCTCAGCCTCCCAAAGGCGCGGGATTACAGGCTGAGCCACTGAGCCCGGCATAATGCCTGTCTCTTATTGGACACTTAGTGTGTCACCAAAGATTGCTTTAAGCACTTCATATAAACTTATTTGTGCAGCCCTCAACAGCTTCCTATGATGTAGATACACAATTATCCTCAGTCTACAATGAGGAAAAGATGTGTCACACATCTAAAGTCACACAGCTCAAAGATGGAGGAACCAAGGTTCTAACACAAATTGTGTGGGTCCTCTACACCTCACAACCCTCTGGGGCTATGAAAACAGAAAGGGCCCAGCTATCAGGGACTGGGATTGTTTCTTAAGCAGACAATTATGTGTGTTTATCCTTCCATCGGTGTCACCATGACAACCTCTTTCTAAGGACTCCACTCAGAAATCATGTCATCAACTGGCCTTATTTTGAAGGGAGGTCACTGAGTCTGCTAGATTCCATATACCAAATGGGAATTCTTTATGAAGGCATTTCTAAGGTATCTCCTTTTTCTCCTACAGGGTCATGCTTTTGCAGGTTTCAGAAAATGTAAACAAAGAAGAATTGAAGGATTTTAAGTTTTTTTTGCGACAAAAGATCCCCAAATGTAAACTGGATGGTGACATGGTAAGACCCAGCATCTTGCTGAGTTCAGCCTGAGAATCGGTTAGTGGTGGAGATTTCTGAGGCCAGAGAGAGACTATTCCAGATGCTCACTCTGCAGCTGGTGTGTTAGAGGTGTGGCTCTCCTGTCCTAGGAGGTGAGAGTGCTGCAGGTGTGACTCCACTGTCCTGGGAGGTGTGAGTGTTGCAGGTGTGATTCTGCTCTCTGGGAAGATGTGAGTGCTGCAGGTGTGACTCCATTGTCCTGGGAAGTGTGAGTGGTGCAGGTGTTACTCAGCTGTTCTGGGAGATGTGAGTGTTGGAGTTGTGACTTCGCTGTCCTGGGAGGTGTGAGTGGTACAGGTGTGACTCTGTTGTCCTGGGAGGTGTGAGTGCTGCAGGTGTGACTCCGCTGTCTTGGGAGTATGTTATGCTCACCACTGGGTATAAGGCAGAGTAAAGCCCTGGAGGAGAAGAGGCCAATTGTGTAGGCACCACCCAGTGTCGGACCAGCAGGGCCCCAGCAGAACCCGGGAGTCAGCCTGAGAAATTGCCCCATTTCTGCCGTCCCAGAACATCTGGGAATTGGAACTCTGTGTGTATGTGTGTGTTGTATATGTGTGTTATCTCTGTGTGTGCTGTCTCTGTGTATTGTGTCTGTGTGTCTGTGTTGCATGTGTATCTCTGTGTCTGTGTCTCTGTGTGTGTGTTTCTGTGTAGTATGTGTATCTCTATGTGTCTCTGTGTATGGTGTGTGGTATGTGTGTATTTATGACTCTGTGTATGTGTCTCTATGTGTTGTGTGTGTCTCTGTGTGTGGTGTGTCATTGTGGCTCTGTGAGTGTGTCTGCATGTCTGTCAATATGTGTGGTATGTCTCTGGTGTGTGTCTGTGTGTGTGGTATTTGTGTGTGTTGTGTGTGTTTCTCTATGTCTGTGTCTCTAAGTGAATATGTGGTATGTGTCTGTGTGTGGTGTCTGTGTGTGTGTTGTGTGTTTCTTTGTGTATCTATGTGTGTGGTGTGTCTCTATGTATGTGTGTGTGTGATGAGTGTGTGTGGTGTGTGTCTCTGTGTGTATTTGTGTGTGTGGTATGTTTCTGTGTGTGTGACTGGGTGTGTGATGTGTGTGTGGCATCTGTGTCTGTCTCTGTGTGTGTGGGTGGTGTGTATCTATATGTCTCTGTGTGTGAGATTGTGTCTGTGAATGTCTGTGAGTGTGATGTGTGTGTCTTTGTGTGGGGGTATGTCTTTATGTGTCTGTGTGTATGTCTGTGTGAACTCAGGTCCGGAGGGGGCCTAGGGGCCAGAGGTGATGTTGGGTGTGAGGCAGTCTATGGCTGTCCCCATGGGGGCTGTGGCGGTTTCACAGTCCTCAGGAAGAGGCACAGGCGGTTTGAGCACAGGGCCTGGGGCCTGGGCAGATTCTGACACAGCTTCTCCTACCCTCTCCCTGTGCCCGCTGTCTGCTGCTGCAGAAGAGCAGAGTAAGCTCCCGGGTTCTGCTGGGGCCGAGCACAGGCCCTTGGTTTGCAGGAGGTGGAAATAAGAAATAATGTAGCCTACACCCCGATAGATCCCCAGCAGCCTCTGGCTTTCTTTCCTTTCTCGTAGGACTTGCTGGATGCTTTCAAAGAGATGCAGAAGATGGCCATCCTGGGAGAGAGAAACCTGGACATCCTGAAAAGCATCTGTGACCAAGTGGACAAGAGTTTGCTGGAGATAATCAGCGATTATGAAAAGTTGCCCAGAGGTAGAGACAGCCTGAAACTGCGAATCAGCAAAAGCTCTTTTGAATTGGACAAACCCCTTAATGTCACAGCTGTTTCTAATCAAATATCGGGGGTGGGGGTTCCTCTTTTAATTCAGAGAGAAGAATGAACCTCGAAAGAAGTCCTGATGCGTGCTCAAACGGTAATGCTTGGAGCTGTGTTTTCAGAGTTTACTGAGTTATTTCTATCTCTGCTACCCTCATGCCTCCTCCCAAGCTTTCTCCCTTTCCCACCACTTCATGGACCTGCCTCCCAGGATCAGGACGGCAGTTCAGTGGGGATGTGTGGTCACCCTCTCTACACACTGAAAGATGTGAAAGAGTTGTCCAAGGGCACAGACCCTGCAGCCTCAGTGGCAGGTTTGAAACAGACACAATTAGTAGTTTAACTTTTTCTGAGTGCTTTTTTTTCTTTTGCTGCTTGACGGGTGCTGCCTGTGTTATGCACTGTGTAGCAGAACTTCTTTGGTTAAGTCACTTCCTCTTTCAACACTTTCCATATGCAGTCACTCCTTCCAATGTTCTTGTTCTCTTATTCTACCTGGGTAAGCCAGGCTGAGCCATGAGAATAAACTCTCAAGGATCTCCTGCAGAATTTTGATGCGGTCACTGAAGATGATTTTTTTTTTTGAGTTGGAGTCTCACTCTGTCGCCCAGACTGGAGTGCAGTGGCTGCTCCCGGCCACTGCAGCCTCGACCTGCTGGGCTCCGGCGATCCTTCTGCCTCAGCCTTCCAAGTAGCTGGAACTACAGGGACGTGCTACCA